TTCCAGTCAACCTCCCCGAGAGAAAGGCCCCCACATACAGCACTCTGCCAGGCTCTGCCCCTCAGTCCTCATACTTCTCTGTGACTGTCCGGTCCCTGAGGCTTCCATGGAGACCCATTCAAGGGAATGGCTAAGCTATCTTCATATCGGGGTGACCAGTGGCCCTAACCACTTGGGTGGCATCGAGAGTCTTCCGCCCACTGGAAGGCCAGTCTCTAGCGCTGAGACCGTTAAACAGGGCCACAGTTTGCCGCAGGGGCACCTCCCAGAAGGAAAGAGAAGATACCCTTTCTCTTCCCAGCCCTTTGCGTATCCCCAAGCAGAACCCCACGGCTCAGATCTGGATCTGACTCTCCTGGTCAGAAACACATTGTCTCCCGCCCTCCGACAGCCTCAGTCTTACCTCCCCTTCCCCAAGAGTCCAAGGGAAGAGTCACAGGTTTGTACCGGCTCCCAGCCTTAGAGTACTCGCCCTTTCTGGCATTATCACCAAATCGTTCCCAGACAGTCCCCACGCCTCAGCCAGGCCCTGCACAGGGAAAGGGAGACCTGAGCAGGGATGGGTGTCCCGTACTTACAGAGACCTGTGGGGCCATCACAGACCCAGGCACGGGCTGGCGCCGGCCCTCCCTGCAGGGAGTAGCGGCCGGGCCAGGCTCCAGCACCCCCAGAAGCTGGGAAGACACACGTCTGCCGCCTTCAGAGGAGCTCGGCCTTGCCTTGGCGGGAGAGGAGGGCCGAGAGAGGTTTTCACCCCACTGAAGATGAGAACAAGAGAGCACATGGCTGGCACTGGGGGAGGGGGTGGGGGGTTGGATACTGTAGAAATTTACTGACTGTTCAGGGTGGTGGTGAAGGAACCAGCCTAAACAGAGTGAATGCAGAAGTTACTGTGTAGAAAGGCACACACAGATCCCACAGATGCCCCCACCTCGCCCTCAGCCCACAGAAACCACAGAGCCACAGTGTCAGAAAAGCAGACAGGAAAACAGTCAACCGAATAAAGCCAGGAGTTCGCCCTGCTGTTTCTAATAAAAGTTATGATCGAGTGTGAAAAGGCTGTACGTGGCCACCTCGCCTCTTCAAGAGGTACACGACATCTGAAGTTCCTGATGGAAAAACACCCAGCGGATGACAGCAGCCAAGGTCAGCCTGGCCGTCAGCACCCCACTGGGTCTGGGGGCTCTCCAGAACTCACTCCAGTCCCTGCCCCCTCCCAAGTGACTTCGTATGTCACTGGCGTTTCCGCGGCCCACAGAGGCAGGAAGAGCGCAACAGATCAGGGCGATAATCCAATTCAGCTGGAGAGCTGGCAGCCTGTGCCACCCTGGAAGGCCTCTAGGCAGCAAATGCCAGCGAAGTCTGAAGCGAGAGCCAGCTGAAGTTGGGACCTCCCCATGTAAGGGACTTACTGTTTATCTACAATTAAATTTAAATGGGCAGCCTGCTGTTTCAATTGTTAACTCGGCCCACTGAGGGTCCCGGCTGAGGTCTTCTGCCCTGGATGCCCGGGTCCTGTCCTCAGCTCTCTGAGGCCACAAAGGAGGCTCTGCTGTCTGCTTTGCTGCTGCTAGGAGCCCTCCCGGGTCACAGTGCCCCACCTCCTGCTCAAACAGAGCCAGTGACCAGGAACTCTTTCCCAAGAAACAGATTGCAAAGGCAACAGGCAGGACAGGCATCCCATGGCCATGCGGGTCTGGCCCAGCCAGCCTCTCCCTCACACCCCTTTGAAGACCTGATTCTCTTACTAACAGTAAATCCAGTCCCCACCCCCTTCCTCCACGGTTCCTTCTTTTGGAAGACCAGCTCTGTCATCTGCCCCCAGGAGACACTCTTCTCCCCCCTCTCCTCAGTGAATGCCCCCTAAGGAGCCTTAGCCCAGATGAGCTAGCACCTGAGGTCAAAACACTGCTGGTTTAAACCTCGCGGAGGGTGAGTGGCTGGCCAGATCCTCAGGCGGGCACACAGAAGCATCTCGAAGCCCAAGGCTGGGACAGAAAAATTCCCTTCTTCCCTGGGGGAGAAACTCAAAACCACCAGTGTTTCCACTCAGGTGACTGTAACAGGACCTGAAGGGAGAGGCGCACCCCGAGCGGCTGGGACGGGACTGACCTGCCCTGAGCACCCTCTGCCCCAGCACAGCCAGCACCTACAGAACTTCGCGCCTGCTGAAGTGAACCCAGTGATGTATCAACGCGGGGCGCCTGGTTAGCCAGCCCGTGGGCTCGGCTGGGGTAAGCGTATGGCAAGGCCCGATGTGTAAGTCACCAGCAAGTTTAGGAGCATTTTAGTTAATGGTTTTAGGCTTTTCCCTCAGGAAGAAGTGCACACTATCAAATTGTGGGGTGGTTGGCTGAGTGTCACCTCTGAGCTCGGCCTACAAGGAAGGGGGGCATTCAGCAGGTCCATGTTCTCTTGGTTCTTTGTAATTCCTGTATACTGAGATGCTGACTTCTTCCCGATACCCCTGCACAGTGCAGGTGTGGAAGTTTATTTTATTGACATAAAATGCAGGCAGAGATGCCATAAAATGCCATTTCCACTGGAAATTTTGAAAAGGGACATCCCCCCCAATTTGCTGGCCACGGGGCTCAGTCAGTCTCAGGCACTCTGGCTGAATGATGCTAAGTGGGGCGCCTGTCAGTGCCAGCACTTCAGAGGCCTGGGACACAGAACCCCGACTTGGGGTTCACTGCATTCAGTGTACAAGTCACTTCCTGAGACGCAAGATGGAAACCTGGCAGAGCTGTGACCTACCTAATGAGCTAGATAAAGGTCCTGAGGCCCAGTGAAGCAAGGACGTGGGGATCCAGGCGAAGGCACACGAACGCTTATTTACCATTATGGGTCAAGACGATTTCCTCTAAGATCCAGGGGCCAGGATCTAAAAACAGAATAATCCTCACCATTTCTTTTTAATTCAGCAAATTCAAGGCTTCTGAAAGGAACCCAGGGATCATGTCAGCCCCTCCCTGTGAGGGTCTCAACGTGAGTCTCATGGTTCAGGAGCCACTTCGAAGCAGGCACTAACGCATTGGCCTGCAAGTGGGCCAGGCTAGAGCCGTGGCGTCTCTCACTACACTGTAAGCTCTCGGGGGGGGGGGGGGGGGGCGCAGCAGGGCCTCACACTGACCCAGTGTGGGTGGCATCGTCTGCCCTCCCATGAGCCCACCCTGCTCAGGAGTGGTGAAAGCAATTTTACCACTCTGAGGCTCTGAGGACCCCCCAGACTCAGTTCAGTTTCCCCTGTGAAGGTGAACATCCAGAGTGTTCTATTTAAAAAGAAAAAAAAAAAAATCCAAAGTTCAGAATCCTTGAAATCAAAATTGCTGAAAAAGAAAGCCCCTGATCAAATCGGCGCTTCCCCCCCGAGGGGCTCGGTGTGTTTATCATGAACCACTCTGAGGCAGCACGGGCCCTCAGCCTGCAGGCGCCCTTGACTTCTTTAGAAAGATTGGCAACTCCTCCCTGGGAGAGACCCCCATGCCGCTGTCTATTCTCTGGGTAAAGGGTGAAATCACGGACCAACGTCAAGCAGAAGGTTGCTGCTGAAGCCTCTGGCCAGGATCATGATTTCTGGGCACACGGAAGCTGCTGTGGCCAGCCGAGTCCGCCACCCTCCTGCGTCCCACAGAAGGGTGAGCTCTGGGATTTGCCCCGTGAGCCTGGCCCATCTGGTATGAACCTGCTTATTGTATTTCTCCTATCAACGGGCAACTCCAGTCCTCAAATGCCAACCAGGGACTTTCCTCTAACCACACGGCCCCCATCGGGGCGGCTCAAGGCCTGTAGCTTTTCTCTCCCTTCCGACTTTCCGTCTCCGTTACCTGTCACCCCGATGCAGGCCTCACAGGCACCTCTGCTTCGAGTTGGCAGAAGCATGTGATGCGAGGAGAGGAAATTCGCACAATTCTCATTGTAAGAATAACAAGCAGAACGAGCCGGGGAGCAAACACATAAATAAACAACTTAGTCTTCCCTCTTTCATGATACTGTCAACATTTCCATTTGCAGTGAGATCTAATGTTTCAAAAAACAAAACCAAACCAAGCCACACTTTAGGAAAGGTCCTCCGAGTGCTCTTTCTAAAGCGCTGTTAAAGAAAATCACTTTTCAAATATTTTATCTTTAAACCAGTACCTGTACACAGGACAGAACTTGCTAAGTCACATCGCCCGCAGCGCTCATCTCTGGGGCTGTCTTAGTCCAGCGCAGGTGGAGACGGGGCCAGTGGAGGCGGCACAGCGGCCCCGACGACCCTCGGACACCACCAGGGGGGATTTGCGGGACCCGACGGAGGTGCAGCACGTGACACACCGGCTCTCTCCGAAAGAGGAGGTGACCTGCTTCCGCCACCAGAAGCTGGTGCGGATAACCGTGCCTACACGAGAGACTCCTTCCTAGGAGCAAAAGCACCTTTGGGGACTCGGGGGCTCGTGACATCCTCTGGGGAGAGCCGGCCCCGGGGCTCCCAGAGGGCCACTGCGGGCAAACACCAGCCCTCCTTTCCTCTCTGGCTTATTTATCCCAGGGCCTCGGGGGACAGAGCCAGTGATGGGGGGCAGTCACTGAACAGGTGCAGGGAACAAATACGCTTGGCACTGACGCCCAGCAGTATCTGTATTCTGAAGCCAAAACTTGCCAAATGACCAGCAGAGAAGCGAAAAGGGGGCTACGCCATCCTCAAGCAGTCACCTCTGAGGGGCAGCCTCAGCCGGGCAGCCTCAGCCGGGCATGGGTGCTGTCTGCTACCCCCAGGCCTGTTGCGTTCACTCCCCGTGGGAGCTCCGCAGAACCGAGAGCTAGTTAACCCTGGGGTCAGAGCAGATGCTTTGGAGATGGTGTTGGGTCACCTGGGTCCTCAAGGCGTGCCTGAGAGGAGGGGCCTGGAGCGCTCGATGTCTCACACACGGCCCTAACCTGCCCGGGACGTGAACATGGGCCGTGGCTGCTGCACAAGGGATGTTTTATCTAAATAAAAGTCACTCCCAAAGGCTTCATTTCCTTGCTCATTTTGGGCGAGTTTTTAATAATTTGAGGTCATCTTTAACCAAACCACACGCACCTATCTGAGCCTATCATTCCTGGCCCCCTGACTAGCGAAGACATTTCCTCCCACACAAATAAAAACTTCAACAAAAATTCAAAGGGAAAAAAAAAAAAAGAAAGAAAGAAAATAAAAGAATGTGAAAAGAAATACAAATCAAAGAAATTTATTGGTGTTGACAAAAATATATAATACAAAAAACAAAACAAAACACAACAGAAATAAAAGCAGAAAGCCCACCACGGCAGCCCACGTGCCCGAGGCGCTGAGCACAGCCCCGCAGCCGCGCGCACGGGACTTAATTCATGAGGACCTCCATCTGCACCAGCCTGGCGTTGGTGTCCCCGGACGTGCGGTAGGGGATCATCCCGGCAAAGGTGATGAGGGCGCGGGCCTGGCTTCGCAGTTGCTGAGGAGGCAGAACAAGAGAGAGCCGCCAGTTAACGCTCCAGGGAGGGCTGTGCCCACAGGACACCACGTGCTTCCACGCCGCTCCGGAGTGCTGGGAGCAGGTCCCTGGGAGACGACAGTCTCGCCGTCCCGCCCACGGCCAGGTGCCCCAGCGGCAGAGTCAGCAGTGCTCATCCCGGCCTGGTGGCAGAGGGTGTCACGGCAAGAGGCCTGGCTGCCAGGCGAGCTGCCTGCCCGCCCCTGGGTGGGCCGACAGGTCCTGGGCCCCCTCCCTGGCCTCCCCTGCCTTCCTGGGTGGGGTCTGTCCATCTGACTCCATGGGGACCAGAGGCTGTCACTGAGCAGTAAGCCAGTTAAGTTGACTTTTAAGAAAAATCCGAGGGCCACTTACTAGGCTTCTTAAGGATTATTCAGGAAGAAAAAAAGGCAGGTACTAGCATGCAAAGCAGAAGGAGTCTGTTCTGCATGATGAGTGCGCCCATTTGACTGCCTGACTTGAAGTGACTACACCTGAGTCTAAGGGAATCAGGCGAAGTGACCCAGACTCTCCTTGGGCAGGCAGTTTTTACACGTAAATCTCTCCTCAACCCTACCTGGCCCTGCCCTTCATAAAAAGACAGAAAAGGAGAGGGGTGCGCAAGAGAAAGACAGGGGAAAGACAGGCTTTATTCATGCCACGCAGAAACTGAATACCTAAGGACACACACAGAAAATGAGCTGCGTTCAGCTGGGCTTTAAACAGCTCCCTGGAGAAAAGGCGACTCTGTGTGGACAAGCCCCCCAACTTGTGAGCAGCACACGGGGTGGGGGAGGAGGAAAGAAACACTGCCTCGCAGGCCCCGGGCCCACACGGCGAGAACTCGCCCTTTCACCATGAACACAGGCGCCCCCACGGCGCAGCCCTGACATTTATGCTGGTGCCGTTCAGGCTTGTGGCTGTGCAAGGGCAGAGGGCAGTGGCCTCCCGGGCACACGGGGACAGGCTGCCTTGGTGGTGTCCACACCCCACGCTAGGATGCTCCCTACGTCCTAGAGGAGAAAAAGCCCGCATCGTTCACGGGGTAGAAGGCCGCAGCCCCGTGCCTGCAGGGTCACAGCAGAGAGCCCAGACATCCTGGGTCGGAAGCCAGACTTCCAAGGATCTAGTTTCCTCCTTACCAAAATCAAGGAACACCACACTGAGAATCTTGTCAAAAAGTGAGCAAAACGCTGAGGCGAAGGGAATTCTAAGTCATCACTGGCTTAACTGGCTCAAATACTGCGGCCCTGTCGCCCAGTCAGTCGGACACACACGCTGTGCGCACCCCAGTGTCCTATAAGCCTGAACCCCGCTGGCCCTGTGCGCCACCGAAGGCCCCAGGGGAGCAGAGCGGCCCGGACAGGAGTCAGACAGGCCGGCTCCCAAGGGCAGCTCCCGACTGGCCGCTGTTCTCTCGGCTGTAAGAGGCAGCAACAGTGGCCAAGCTAGTCACCTCCTTGGGATCACTGTGCAGGTCGGATGAGGGCAGAGACAAAACTTCATCAATGTTCTGACCAAAAGTGAATTCGGTTTCGATGTAAAATGCTGAGCTTAGGCTCACAAAATAGCCCCGATATTAAAATGGGCAGGAATTCCCATGGGAGCTCTACAATAGGCCCCCTGTTTGATTTTTCTAAAGGTGACATCTGCGGACTTAACACCTCCTATTTCAGCTGGAGAGGGGCAGCGGCCGCACGACACAAGGCCTGCCGGTGGCGGGGTGGCGGGCGGGGAGGGCGCTCGGAGGCGCGAGGGGGGCCGCGGAGGCCCGAGGGTGGGCTCAGCAGTGGCTCGGGCCACGCTGGGACCTTACAGAGTCGCGGTCCTCGATGACGCGCTGGGGCCTGGACGCCGAGGAGGGACTCGTCCCCTTGAGCCGCTTAAACTGCGTGAACAAGATGTTCATGGTGGCGAGAAGCACCTCTGAGAGGTTGTGCCTGATCTGCAGAGAGAAACATGTGAAGTCAGGAAGAAGAGAAGCCTCAGAGGGCCACGCTGCTCCGGACAGGCCTGGGCACCACAGCCGCTCGCTCAGATGCCAGGAGGGTGGCGAGGGCACCCGGCACCCAAGCAGTGCACTCTGGAGGCAGGCGGTCACCCTTGGGCTCGCTTCCTCTTAGGCAGGGGCAGTGGGGCAAAATGCTGGCCACGCCTGGACAGCACACAGGCTCGGACTGGCCAGCAAAGGGATTTCCAAAGCAAAATATCTGGACGGGAGGCAAGCAGGACAGCCGTCCAGTCCCCACCCCTCCCCGTGCTCTGGGCCCAGGAAATGGGGCTGCACTGCTCCTGCAGAGTCCGTGGGCGCAGTCAGGGCGGCCTGCGCGGCCCACGAGGCAGGGCGCGCCGCTTACGGGGGGCAAGAACACCGAAGGCCAGCGGCGGCTCAGGGAGGAAGTGACAGCAGAAACGAAGAGGAGGTGGCCAGGGGCTGGACCTGTGAACGGTGCTCACCACAGGAGGTGACTGCCTGCCTTCCCCCCACTCCACGTGCACAAACTGCCTTCCCTCCTCCTCCAAACAGAAACAAGCTTCTGAGGAAGGCCAACCGTACCCTGGAACAGCACGGTGCCAGCTGGAAGCAGGCCGCTGCCCTGGGCACCTGGTTCCAGGCAGAGCTTTGCCCAAGCTGCAATGGGGACAACCGGGGGAGGTCCAGGCTGCGGCTCAGAGCAGGGACACCAGGACTTGGGGGGAGTGGGCCTGGGTGTGAAGATGTTTTTAAGGAAAAGAAAAAAAAAAGCTGCCATGAGACAGTGGCCCCGAGGCTTGTGGTGATAACCTAGGCCAGGATCACCGCGCCTGAGACAAGACAGTTCAAGGAAGGGAAAGAAGGAAGAGAATCGTGATGCATTTTTCATGCACCCAGTGGAAACTTAAAGATCAGAATTAAACTCCAATTTTGCCCCACCCTTGAGAACAAGTGGATAACTCAGAATTACAACAGCCATCGCCGGGTCAAACCCGTTCCTCCCCCACGTGTCTGGTCGCTCAAGCAACTGTATTCCGGAGTCGGGAAACCAGACAGTAACTTAGGGGCAGCTGTTCTCAGAAGTCAGCCCAGGGTACCTACAATGGGCTCATCTCAGAAATGCAGATGGGAGGACTCCACGCTTCCTGACGTTGCCACTTACATTAAAACAAGAGGTCCCATGACAGGGGAAGACAGTCTGTAACTCAGGAGAAAGGGACTCACTTCATCACTGAAATTCCGGAAGGCGGCCACTCTCTCTTCCACGCTCTCCTGACTCAGGGGCACCAGCTTCAAGCGGTCAATGATCTGTCGGGAGTGAGCACGCCGGCCGCGTGACAGCATCAGTCATTCACCTTCCCGATGCACACTGGCGTCTAATGCGCTCAGAGAGGGCTTCTGAGCAGCAAACCCACTGTCCTTGTACACCAGCCCCCGACCAGCCCCTCCGAAAGAAAAAGATGACAAATAAAACCCACCAATATACACAATGGCCTTGCTTCTACCTCGCTGATTAACTTACTTCCTATCCTCATTTTCTGGGGCTGTTTTAAAATTCAGTGATTTCAAATTACTCTGAGAAACTTTTCTGTCTTCACATTAAAGGGGAGCAGAATAGTAAATAACACGACAGAAACTCCCTTTACATTCCTTAATTTACACTTGTCTTCACATAGCAGGCACAGTGGCGACATTCCTGGGAAGAAAGCTGCTTCTCGAGCGTGAACGTGAGCCTGCACACCCAGCACCCCTGAAACTTACATCAAAGGCTCTGTCAATGTGTCCACTGTGATACTCGTCAAAAAAGGTGATCAAATCCAGCAGAAGATAGAATGTGGAGTCCACAAATTTATTCGCACTGATTCCTTGAGCCCTGTACCTGAAAGACAAAAAAAATAGTGGGGGAGGGGCAGGCTATGAATTTCCATGTAACATCTAACATGGCACTTGAGAGACATCTCTGGGTAAGGAGAGAGGCGAAGTGGAAACAGCATGTTTTCCTGAACAGCCATGCCTCTGACGGTGGACTTAACACGGGTATAAACATGCTCGAGGCAGGAATATGCGCTCCGGCCTCCATCACCATCTCGGCATCGAACCTTTACAAAGGGCGCAGGTCTCTCTGGCCACACGTCCAGCGACCATCACCGAGACTGCGAGACCGAGAGGCCCATCTGCCCAGGAACTCTCTGGGCAACCTCGGGACAGCCCCAGCCAGATTTCCCTGGGCCCTTCCCTAGGCCTGTCGGCACAGGGCGCACAGAGAGACTGGCACGTGGCCTGGCAGCTCCACTGGCTGCAGTGGAGGAACTCCGGTGACTGCCAGGGCGGAGGGAGGCTTCTGAAACCCCAGCGCCACACTGCTGAAACCCCCCATCCTACCTCTGTTCCCAGGGCTTTGGGGCGGCCGATACAGTGTACATGACTGTAAGGTCCTAAATTAAACGCCGTGTTCAGGAGAGACATGCTGAGATGCCCTTTCCTACCCTTTATTAGGGGCAAACATTCTAGAAGTCTGACGGTTCCCACTGGTCATGATGTGGGGGGCCGAAACCCCAAGTGCTGGCAGGAGGGAGCTGCCTCGGGAAACACTGGTCACACAGCTGTGCAGCTGCTGGCCCAACCTCACCGTTCAGCAATGGACAGGGCCGTGTTCTTCAGCCTCTCCTTGTTGGACTGTGGTGCGCTGATCTGGGGGACGACAGGGCTGAGCAGCTTGTTCATCAGCTCCAGCACCTTGTCAGCATTCTGTGTGGATTTTAAACATTAAGCAAATAATCAATGAAAGGACAAAATACATCACCAAGACCAAAGAGGGAACGTCCTGGGTGATGGGTAGAAATGCTCTGGGGCTGGTCTGGTGGTGGATACGGACACACGTCAGGGAGAATTCACTGGCTGTCCATTTACTGTCTGCATTTCCTAAGGCTCAATTAGACCTCAGTCAAATCACAGGAAAAGGGAAAAAAGAATTTTAGAAGCCTTTCTGCCCACTTTTCTCGGCAGGTAAAAGGAGAGCACCTTATCTTTTTTAGACCGCACCCCCAGCACCATCAGATGTTCTCAGGCAGAAGCACTTATTCCGACGTCCCAGCGGTCAGCCCTGCTCCCCGGCTGGGCACCAGTGAGGCCGCAGCCAACGGAGGAGGGGCACGGTGGTGTCTCCTCCTGCGGAGCTGCCAGAGCTGGGAGACGCGCGATCTGCTGCCAGCCAAAGACCACAGCTCGGCGGCCGCAGGGCAGCCTTTCACTACGCGCCTGTGTGCGGCCAAAAATAATTCTGTGGAATGGGAATTTCACCCTGACTGGACAGTTAACTGCCTCAGCAGTAGGAGAAAACCCCTCAGCGGAGAGGGCAGCACCATAATGGCACCGTCGAAATATCTGTGAGTTAGTGTCAAAGGCCAGCAGATCTGTTGAGTGTGAAGGAGGACAGGGTGCGCTTTACCTTGGCAAGGTCATAAAGCTTTGCTGCTTCTTCAAACAGTCCTTTATTTTCTGCCACGGAAGCAACTTTGTTGATAATAGGCTTCGTGTCACTAGTAAACTTATCTATGACTCCAGGCTGACAAGACAAATTATGGGGGTGGGGGGAGAGAGGGGTGCACAGAGCTGTTATTTTAAACACAGAGAAGCAATTTGGACCTGAAAACTACTTTAACTGAAAATGCTCGCCCTGGGCAATGCATCTATCTCATCAGCTAGAGCTGGCTTTCTTGAAGATGGACGGGTCCATTAGCGCTATGAAGGGATGATGGGAACCACACAGGCAGAGGCAGGCTCACGGCAGCACAGAGGAGTCAGCAGTAAGACATCTGTGCTTCCTAATGTCCAAACGACCTCAAGGAGAGATGAAATCATCAACGGTTTTGGGTTTGCTGGTGAATGGGCACTAGGGAAAAATCAGCAGGCTCAGAGAAGACGGCTGAGACTTTGGGTCGCTAAGACAGAGAGCAAAAGAAACTCGGTGTGGAAAAAATACATGACCAGTGGAGTCCAGGGAGTTAAAGCCCCTCACCGCCTGACGGCAACCGAACGGTCGCGGGAGACTGAGAGGCCTCGGGCCAGGCGCGTGCATGTCAGTGCCATCTGGCCATTCTGGTCCTCCACCAGCGTGGACAAACGGACGACTGCGCCCGCCTCCTGCACGCAGCACAGGGACGAGTGAAGAGCAAGGGCTGAGAGTGGGGCGCAGGCTCACAGTGTGCCCCATTTGCACTGGCTGTGTGAGCACGAGGGCCCACGCCTCTCCTCTCCGTTCCCTCACTTGGAAAACAGACAGTCACCACCCACACTTGGGCTACTAACTAGACACTTGTAAGTGCTTGGTGCAGCGTGTTGGTGCAACCGTGGCTGCCCAGTGCGCACAGCAGGCCACCAGTCTGGCAGCTGGTCTGTCTTCTGAGCGGGGCGGCGTGACCAGCGTGAGCTCGTCTGTGATTGCTGGGTCGAGGGCGCCCACGACCCAGGGCGCCTTACACACGAGAAAGTGAGGGCTGAAGAGAGGCAGGTGACTTTCCCCAGGCTACAAGGAGTGTCCAGTGGGGTCAGGACCGGTCTCCTCTGCTTTGCCACCCCTAGACACAATGGGCCTCAGGGTGGCCAGGACTCAGAACACCTGGGGTCAAGGCAGGGGCCCGGACCCTCAGGAACCACCTTTGGGGAGAGGTAAAGCTCACTTCCAACTTTTCCATTGGGAAGAATAGGTGTAATAATTGATTTCTTTTCTTGTATATTTTCTGAGCCAAGAATGGCAGAAATATAGCTTTTCCAGCTTGAAAAGTGGCAGGCATAAACACATGAGTGTCTTGAACATAACTGGAAATTTACATATTTTAAGGAGAATATAAACGTGCAAAGTTAAGGTCATCATCTGGTGCCTGCAATTTTTTTTTTTTTAAAGTAACTTCACTCAGATTTGCATCTTTGAGCCTTGAACCCTAAAATCTAATTGCATCCCAACTGCAAACTAACACATCTCTCAGGGCATGGGAACCCACCTTTCTACTTCCATCGTTCTCCAGTTTCCCAAGAATCATATCAAACTGTGGAGACAAGAAAAACTTACTCAATTTACTAGACAAAGATAAACAACAATCCACAGTGGTTTGGAGTTAGCAGATGGGAAGGAAATGGGGAAGGCGGGGAGGTTTTAAACAAATCAGAAAACAGCGAGCGTGAGCGAATGCTCTCATTGCCCAAACCAAGCAAGCGCCAGTGATCCCCAGGCCCCAGGCGGCCTCCCCACACGAGGGCCAGGGCGGGAGCTCACACGGGGCGGCCCGGAGCCAGCGTACCTCTCGGCTTTCTATCACAAGCTCGCTCACACAGCGCAGAAACATGTTTTCTCCTTGGCTGTCCTTCTCATCCCTGTTCGGGAAGAAAAGCGACCTGGTTTCTGGTGTGGACTCAGCGCCTCAGAGTCTTTCCCAGAGGGCAGAAATCGGAGCCAGTGGGAGCAAAGGGCCAGAGCCAGTGTTACCTGAGGAAGTAAAAGTACTGGAGCGCCTCCCTCGGGTCTGTGGCCTCGAACTTGCGGGTGTAGAGCATGAGCAGTCGCACAAAGTTCAGCCGCCTCATGCAGGGGGGGTCCCCAGGCTCATGGCTGACTGCGCCCGGGGGACAGAACTGGTCACATCATGCTGCCCCTGACCCCCGCACCGGCAGCCGCGGGAGCCGAGTGCGAAGAGCCCACCCACGCCCACGCCAGGCGTCCGCCCCTGAGCGCAGCCAGCTCCCTTCCCGAGCACGCCGTCCTCAGTTCCTCTCCACGCACAGGACGCAGGAGCTGGCTTTCTGTGGCAAGTGCCTAGTCAGCCCGTCTTTAAACGAAAAGATAGAGGCGACTGGCCACAAGGACACGTGTTCTGGAGTGACCTGGACCATCCCGCCACCTGCACCTTCTCTCCCTCCTGGATCAAGGGTGCCTGGAGGCCGGTCGGGTGTCCGACTAGAGCCCAGTGCGGCCAGACTGATGACCTAGCCACTGCTTCGCCTGCACCGTTTTGGTAAAGCCAGCAATTCCTACAGCACTTTATATGTTCCACACCGCAGGGACCACTGCGGGAGAAAGGGAGCAGCAAGAACCCCAACATTAATCACCCAAGAAGCCGAGCTGTCTAGCATGCTCCGGAAGGACCGGCGCGGCCCGCTCACACCCTCACGAGGTGCAGTCCCGTCTGTGCCCCCGGGGGCCAGGCACGGCCACTCCGTCGCCCATAAATACTCACGGAGCTGAGCACTCTGCCCCGAGGACTTCAGAAGCAGCTTCAGCTCAAAGAGCACCAGCGCCACGTGCACGGCATGGCAGCGCAGCCGCTCCGTGCGGAAGAGGAAGGCGATGGCGGCCTCGAACTGCGCCGTCAGGAAGAGCACTTGGAAGTAGAGGAAGGGCTGCTGGTTCACTGTGAAGTGGGATTCGCCTGGGCAGGGAGGAGAACAGGCTCAGGAGGAGCCGGCCGCCAGCAGCCCCGCCCCCTGCGGCCCTGAGAGCCCCGGCTCGCAGGGCAGGACGGAAGGACGAGCGACCGGGCGAGCGAACTGCCCAGAACTGTCACGTGAATCATGACCTGGTCCACAGCCGCCTCCAGACCTCACACACGCCGGCAGGCAGGGGCCATGTTATAAAGCCCAAACTGAGTTCAGGACCTTAAAACAGACTACGAGAGGGGTCGTTTATCCCCTGGATCTTGGCGAGTCACGCAACAGGGAGAGGGGCGGAGAGGCAAAGGTTCAGTTCGCAGATGCTGGCCACTGGCTGGAATCTTCATCCCAGGGCTATTAACTGATGGGTGGGTGTGGCAGGAGACAGTCACTGCGAGCGCTCCCTGCCTGCCGACCAGAGCAGTCAGGGCCTGGAGACACAGCTCACTGACACGCGCGACCACGTGGTCTCCACGCGAACCTGAAGGCAGTGTTTCGCTGCACTGTGACGTCTCCCACTGCACACACATGCTCGCCTTAGGGTCGGCTGGGAAAACCCTAAGACATGAACCTACTTTAAACTTTCTACTACAAGGAAGACAGAGGCTAATGACTGAACCAATTTCTGAAAATGGAATCAGAAACTGTCAAAAAAAAAAAGCATCCAGTTTTCCGCAGCATAAAAGGCGTAATCATCCACGAGGTTTTGAGAGTGAGATAGAGACCAGAGATAAAACAGGTTTTCCCAAAGGAAAGCTATGTAGAGACCTTAATTGCATGAGAGAGATGGTGGTTATGTGCAAGATAGCTCACCATAGTCTTCCAATAGCTGCTTCTGGAACTGTGAGAGAGTGAGTCTGTCTTGTGGAGAGCTGGTGCCATCATCATCGAAACACACTTGGTTCAACTAAACCCCCCGCCCCCGAGAGAAAGACACGCATTAGTATCAACCACCTTGTCAGCCAGAGGCAGAGATGTAGCTGTTCCGTTAACGAACATGGGAATTCTGCTCTGAAAAATGGGGCCAGTAGACAGGACATCTGCGATCCCCACTGGCATCACATGTTACACGGGTAAACTGTGTATGTGGAACATGGGAGATGGCAGGCTGAGAAGGAAGCGGCCCCACCTTCAGCCACAGGTAATCCTCAGTTTTGTCGGCCACTTCACTCTGGTTGTCGGTGATGTCACACCTGCCGATGACGCAGTACACGGCGCGCTTGTAGGGGTCGGTGTTGTTCCGGAGGGCCCTTCGGTAGTGCAGCCGGAGCTTGTTCTCCGTAGCTGGCGACAATCTAACCACACAGGGAACACAGCGGGGTCACAGGCTTCAGCACAGAGGGAAGTGCCCCTGCCGGCACCCCCAGTCTGACTCGCGACTGAGGGGTCAGCCTGACCCCTGTGTCTCTCCTGCTGGCTTCTTCAAGGAGGCCTCCAGGGGCAGATCAGAAATCCTCCGAAGGAGTTATATTCCCTCCACAGACCAGGAGCCCCCGAACAGTGATGGACGAGAGCGAGTCCTTCTCCTAACCATCTTAGCCACCTCCCTCAGGCCTCCTTCTCATCCCCTCATGCATGTGGGGTCATCTCCCAACTAAACGACTTGCACACACACATGCTCGCCTTAGGGTCTGTGGGGAAAACCCTAAGACATTATCCTACTTTAAACTTTCTCCTACAAGCAAAACAGAGGCTAATGACTGAAGCAATTTCTGAAAACGGCATCAGTAACTGTCAGAAAAAAGCATCCTAGTTTTCCGCAGCACAAAAGGGGTAATCATCATTTCCCTGTATGTGTGTGTACATAAATCTAAGCTGGGTCTCAACATGAACTTAAGCCCAGCTACACTGACACGACAGAGAAAAACAAAGGCTTAGCCATTCCTTAATGCAAGAGAACAACCGGGACACCTCAGGGAACCAGCTCCGTGATTACATTTCACGATTATTAGCTTCTCAGTCTAGTCAGTTCTGGCTACAAAGTGGGTGACAACACATTTTGGTGTTGAGCTGAGTGTTTGAGAAAATCAGTAAAGCTTCACTTAGTCAAGCAGCCAGGGTGCTCTGGGGTGGCAGAGTAACTGAAGCCATTTCGCGGCTGTAGCCCTGCGCGGGAGCAGCAAACACCTGAACGCACAGCAGGACGCCGGATGCCAGTGCCAGGCGGAGCTCCCGCAGGTCTCCAACTGCCACCTGACAGCGTTTTACTTTCTTTCTAAACGTCACTTCCCCCAAGCAGAAACTCATTTAGCGTGTCCGTTCACTATACCGTCTGTCTTTGCTGTTCATGTACTCCTGGAACCAGGTTTTAAACTCTCCCAGCTGGTGCTGGGCTCGGTTAACCACCTGCGAGGCGGCAAGCAGGTCTCCACAGCGCATGCAGTAATAAATCAGTGCCCACACGGGATGACCTTCCACCTCTCCGTCCTGAAAGAGGAAGCTGCTCAGGTAAACAGACAAATGGCTTCTGCGCGTGTTGCCTCCCGGCCACGCCCTCCCCTTGTTCCAAGTGTCTTAATGGCCACAGCAATCCTGCTGGGTAGGGACCAACGGCAGGCGCCTCCTTCCTGTGTACACGTAAGGAGTCTGAGGCTGGGGATGTTAAGTAAATTGACCAAGGAAGCCGGTAAATGGTAGTCTGCTCTAGTACAGCCTTTCCCCTCAAGTGCGACGCGCACCGTCTGACTCAGCATCGGTGGCCCCCGAAGACGCCCGGCAGCTCAGTGAAGTGGTGCCGTGCTCGGTGAGTCCACACAGATGTGCATTCCTGCAACCCTCTAGCGAGCAAGGGCAAAAGAAGCAGCCCAGTGGCCAGCAGGAGACTCTCAGCATACCTGAGTTTATAAAATGTCCGAGATAGTCATAATTAAGTGTTCATAAGGCATCTTCATTCACGCACTTACTGAGTACCTCTGTCTGTGGCAGGCGAGGCACTGGGGCTCTCTTCCCACCCAGTGACCTATGGCCACTGATCCCTCCCTGCTCTCGCAGCTCCTCTAGAACTGGACCTCAGACATCCTCCCATGGCCACCCTCCCTCCCACATGGGAGGACTCTTTAAAACCCAAATCTGACCATGTCATTTTCCACACAAACCCCTTAGAGCTATTTATATCCAAAATGTTTGACCTAGCACCCCAGGCCTTCACCAGCAGGCCCCCAGTTCATCAAGCCCTGCTACACACCCAACAAGCCGGAAACTCTCCTGCTTCTCTGCATTTGCTCATGCTGTTCCCGGCCCCTGGACACCCATTTCCAAGCTGGTTGAGTCCTGATCTTCAAACCAAGCGTGGCCCTCCCCTCCTTTATGAGGCCACACCACTTTGGCATGCGGCTTCAGAACAGTACTTTGCACCGAGAATGCCGACCAGCTGTCAGGTATTCCATCCACTGGACTGCTGTGATCAGAGCCACATCTAATTCCACCCTTCCAGCTGTTTTGAGTCAGCAATCTCGGAAATCATTCCCTGACTCTGCCTCTCACTCCCACATCCAAATTCTTCAATAAGTCATCATCGGTGTTTTCAAACACACCCGGGATCCAATGACATCAGCCCCAGCTGCATCCTCCACCATCCAGAGGTACTCACCTGGACTCCTGTTCCACCGGCCCCCAAGATCTTCCAGCTCCTCCTCTTGTCCCCTTATCCCATCCCTAGTCTCTTTTCCATACAGCAGTTTTCATGGGTAACTGTATTTTAACCTAAAACACCTACGGAAGAGAGACTGTTCTGGGGGCAAACTGATCACACAGAGAGAGCTGACATACCTGGAGTCCAGGCAAGGGAGCCGGAAGCTTAATGTTCAGGAAACTTCGAACCAACTGGTACGTTCCAGGCACCCCGCCCAGCTGGGCCTGATGCAAATTTCCAAAGACAGTCACAAGGGTGTAATTCTTATAACTAGACAAAAATTAAAGAAGAAAACAGGGCTGTTGAAAAATACATACTGCACATATCTAAGCCCAAATGCACATCGGTAGACTATGAGCACGGCAAGGCAGGGACTGGCCTGGAGACGTAACACAGTGGTGCATACTCCGAAGCAGGCTGCATCACTTATTCAGCAAGCAGTGGGTCACTAAAGATTCCTCCTCACTGGATGTGCAAACAAACCCTGGAGGGACACCACTGTACACTTCTAAAGCATTCAGGGCTAATGTGCAGAATAATATTTGCTCCGGCTCACAAGTCTAAAGCCCTAGTGGCTTCTTTTAAAACTTCTTTCTCTGAAAAATCAAACCTACAAGAAAATTAAATTGTCCAAGGAATATTCAAATATCCTTTATGTAGACCCACCACTTCTATTGTCTGTGTATCTGTATGTACATATATAAAACACATGCAAATACACATGCACACATATAGACACACATACATGTACAATTTTTTTTTCTGAACCACTTGAAAATTTTATAGAAATACAAAAATTAAGGGCTACCCATCTGTAAATACTACTCCATATATCGGCTAAAAATTAGGATATTCTTGTACCTAACTTAAATTACTTTTTTTTTTTTTTAAGATTTTTTTGTGCATACATAACTGGGGTGCAGGCCAGAGGCTCAGGGCGGCGAGAGGCTTCACCAGAGACAGAGTAGGGAGCAGAACAGGCAGATCGACAAAGTACACTGCTGAGGGGGACAGGGAGCGGGTCAGGAGAGGTCTGCCACGTCATGTGGTCACCTCCGGGGCAGGCGGGAATCGAACTCATGCGGAAGTGGCTTTAGTTTCTTAGTGCTGTGCTTTAACCCGCTGCACCACCAGGGAGGGCCCTAAATTACTGTCATTATTTAAAATATCACCTACATTCAAATTTCTTAGTGACCTTTATATCTGTGTTTTTAAATCAGGATCCAATCAAAAAATATATGGCACTTCGTTGTCATGTTATTCCCATCTTCCTTAATGAGTGGTAATTCTAGACAGTGACCTTTTACAAAATATCCAGGCCAGATGTCTGGAAGAATATTTCACAAGCTGTACAGTTTCCTCTTGATCTGATTCCGATTTAACCTTCTCACGGATGTCGGTTCTGGCCACCCAGCTCCACAACAAAGTAGGTAACAGCAGTTTGCGTTGCAGATGATCAGAATCCCCAAAGATACAATCTCAATCTGGAGAGGCGTAACCCTGAATGTTGAAATCCTGAAGGATCAAAATCCTTAACATCTAAAGTCCTGAGAACCATGAACCCAGAAGATCAAAATATAATTCTGGGAGGAATTTCCCCCCCACAATTTCCTATAAGATATTATTTACATTTTTAAATGGAGATCTATTTGAGAATCAGAGACTTGCTGACACAGAGTTTCCTCTTGTATTACAAAACACATCAAATGGTGAACTACTCTGGTTAGTGATTTGACTTACCAAAGAAAACAGATTTTGTATATTTACCACTAAACCTAACAGAAGAATTAGCACATTAACTCACTTTGGATAATGGATGGCCATTCAAAAGCCCACTATTTTATTGATCTGAAAATTCTACAATATAACCACCCATTTATGTATTAATGACTGGGAAAAGTGAAATACATCACAAATGCTTATTTTGAAAATTTGGTAGATTTTGCTGAAGAAAATGGATTTCAATAGAAACAGAAAAACATAATGATAGATTTGAAATTAGGAGCCACCAGGGACTCACTGGGGCCTAGGATGTAAGTCTCAGTGCTGTCACCAGTACGGCCCGAGGTTCATCCCCAGCCAGGGACTGGCCCACTGGCGCAGCAGACTTCTCCTCTCAGCAGCGTATTTAAATCACTCTACCTGTTCTGCTTTCCCACTCTGATGAATCCTCTGCCCCTGCATTTCCAGCCTACACCCTAGTTTTTCTGTGCAAAAAAAAAAAAAAACCAAAAGAAAGAAAAGAAAAAGGTGCCATCAAGGCTTCTAAAAGTAAATTTCATGTTACCAATATTTTTTTTTCTCATTAAGCCCAATGCATTCAGTGGATAATTCAGATGACATAGCCTCAGCTATCAATGAACTGAAGCTCTATTTGTTTCAAAATGTCAGTGAAACTTTTGATTGGTTTGAAAATAATTGTGTGCACACATCTATGTTCACTGATCTGCAACAAAAGAGCAAAGAACATACACTGGAACAAGGACAGACTCTTCAATAAATGATGCTGAGAAAACTGGACTGACATGTGCAAAAGGATGAAACCAGATTACCTCACACCATGCACAAAAATCAACTCAAAATGGGTAAAAGATCTGAATGTAAGACTTGACATCATAGAATATATAGAAGAAAACAGGCAAAACACTCCATGACACAAGCCTCAGAAACAACTTTGAGAATTCTTCTCCAGAAGCAAGGGAAAAAAAGGAGAAGATAAGCAGCTAGAACTACAAAAAGTTCAAAAGCTTCTGTATGGCAAACAGACAATAATCTAAACAAAGAGACTGCTTACTGAATGGAAGAAAATATTTGCACACTATATGGCACATAAGGGACTAATAAAAGAGTCTACAAAGCATTTTCAATACTCAACAAAAACAAAGCAAACAACCTGGTCAAAAAATGGGCAAAAACAATTAAACAGCCACTTCTTTCAAAGAAGAAATGCAAATGGCCAACAGGCATATGAAAAATACTCAGCATCACTACTTACTAGGGAAATGCAAATCAAAACCACAATGAGCTACTACCTCACACCAGTGAGAATGGCCCACACTAATAAAATCAGAAGCAACAAATGCTGGAGAGGATGTGGAGATAAAGGCTTCCTCTTACACTGCCGGTGGGGATGTAAACTGATCCAGCCACTATGGAAAGCTGTGAGGTCCCTCAGAACACTGAAAATGGAGCTACCAAATGATCCAGGATTCCATGCCTACGATCACCCTAAAGGACATAAAAACATTAGTTTGAAAGGAAACCTGCACTCCTGTGTTTACTGCAGTGCTGTTAAACAATAGTCAAGATATGGAAGCAATTCAAATGCCCCCGAATAGATGACTGGATCAAAACGTTGTGGTTGTGGGGATTACAATTGAGATGAAAAAAAAATGTGCAAAATGATGTAAAAATAAACTTTTTAATAAAAAAAAAAACGTGGTTTATTTATGCAATGGAATATTATACAGGAATCAAGAAAGACAAACACATGCCAATTGCGGCAACATGGCTGGAGTGGGAAGGGATTATATTAGCTGACGTCAGTCACAAGGAAAAGGTAAATACTGGATGCTCTCACTTACATGTAGAATATGGAGAAACCAAACAAGAAGCCAAGAAAAAGTCAAAACTACCAAGAGCTGAGGCATCCAGCCAGTCAAAAAGTCAAAACTACCAAGAGCTGAGGCATCCAGCGGAAGACGGATAGTGCAGAACAGGGGAGGGAAGAATGCAAGGGAATGTGGTGATGGTTCAGGGACATGGTGGCGGGAGATCTCGGGACTACGATGACATAAGAAAAAAAATTAACAAAGGAAAGAATACACAAAAAAAGCTGAGCATGGCAGAGTGGCGCCGCCCTTCGGTCAGCAGTGTAGTTTTGGCAAACACACGCTCCGTGCGTGAGCACGTGGGGGAAAACTCCCCCTGCATCTGAAACACACAGGACGGAGACGAACTTAGGGGTGCTCACGTCGGCGTACGGTCGCAGAACCTCAAGAGCTGTGCCGCCAGAAAACGGACGTGAGCGTGTCCTCTGAGGAGAGCCACACTCGCAAAGTAAACGAGCAGCTGCTCCCTGCAGTGTAAGGCTCCAAAGTGGAGCTCGTGGTTCTCTTAGGGACCACTTCGGGGCCACACTCATAACCTGTCCCTGTTATACACTTCCGCATAGTAGAACTGTCCTTTTCATTTTAAAAATTGCTTTTCTATGGTTTAGTCCACCCCCTCACTACTTCAAATTGCCAGCTATATGTGTGTGTGTGTGTGTGTGTGTGTGTGTGTGTGTGTGTGTGTGTTTTACATGTCATGTCATCTCTACATTTCATGTCATCTCTACAACAACTGGACACATAATGAGGTCCAGACTTTTCGGGAGCTGACTCATTTTAGACAAAGCCGACTCAGTAGAGTTCACGATCACAATGCTGACTCGAGTGTAAGCATCATGCCTGGACACAGAGAGGCTGACACTCCTGAAGACATGAAAAACTATCGCAGATGCAGGCGTTTATGCGAGATATGTTACCACATGTCTGTCATGTTGTTTCTCAAATGATCACAATGAGGAATGTTAGTAAGTATCTTTAAAGAATTTTTATTATGTTTACCCAAAGTACATTTTCAAGATGTTATGCTTTGGGAATTTTGCTTTTTCAGGATTTCAACATTCAGGTTTATGGCACTTGGGATTGTATCTTTTAGGCTTTGAGCCAAACACACATGTCCCATTCTTGGTAAAATGGGGTTTGGTGACTCAGTTCAAGATAGTGTCCACCGTACTTCACCACGACAGAAGTACGTTCCTCGCTTAGAACTAGTAAGCACCCTGCAGGGTGACGCTTGGAGGTCACGTGCTGTCCCCTAACAATCTTTCACCCAACAGTTTCAGCTTCCATTACTTATCCTTGCTAAACCAATTACCAACCTGGTGGTTACAAGTGATAATTTCCTACCATCCCCTCCATGACACATGCTTCTGAAAACCTCATACAGCTCTTTAAAGCTTCCATGCTAAGGTAGCCAACTGTGAAGTTAATATAAGAGAGAACATTCTAAGTATGTTTCTTGTCCAAAGCAAAACGAACTGCCTCAAAAAGCCAGGTGCTCCTTATGCACAAAGATGTTCACACCAGATTAAGAATAATAACAGAAAAAAAAAAAAAACAGAATAATAACAGACAGAGAGACAGGGAGTGAGCACTGATGGTCAACTCCAGAAAGCAGACTCATTGGGGTTTTGATGCAAAAATGATACTTGCAAATAATTTAAAACACTATATTAAACTACATATTTACAACTTGATCATAACTGTGTCTAAGAAAAAAAAAAAATAACGAAGTACCAGAAGCCTCTGCACGTGGTACAGGAGACCCTGCCCGCTTTCTCAGGCCTTCTTTTTGATGTCTTTCAAAAATTTACAAAATGAGCCTTTACCATTTGACAAGTGCATTCAACGCCACATGTATTTTAAGCTGAAAGGGACTAGAGCCAGAGGACGAGACCAGCAGTGCCGGAACGTGCACTTCACTGTGGCCCTTCACCTTGAGCTGAGACAGCCCACGACTCGCCAGCTGAAGAGGCAGCTAGATCTCAGTTGCTGAGGACGAGCTTCAAATTTGGGATGTGGAAGGGAACAGACAGGCCAGCACTGCATTTTCTCAGCATTTTCAAGCTGAATTTGAGAAAGCATTTGCAGTTGGATCTACCTTTGCCGCTTGGTACATCATCTGAGATCATCAGCACACACAGATACAGATACACAGTCACTGGAAGAGCAGCAACGAGAATCCTCTAAAAATGAGTATAACTGTCCTAAAACCTGTCCTCTATCCAAAAAGGTAACACACAGTTACCACAGAAGGAAGCCACCAGAATATGGAAAAAAAACATGGTTACCATAACTATACACAGGAAGCTCTCAAATGGCTCAAGCACGGCTAAAGGAATAAATGGACAAAAGCAAGATGAAGCGAATATGCAAGAAACCAGGTAAGTAGCCAAAGCAAGCAGCCTGCAGCACTGGGGAAGCCTCGCCAGGGCTGCCGCCCAGATGCGCCCTGCAAAAGGCAATCACAAGCAGCACGTTAAAAATCCTGAAGGCTATGGTATGCTGTAAGAGACTGTGACTCATATTTTGCTGACTTACAGCAAGTAAATACTACTACATACAGTAGGTCCTTCGGGCTGCAGGTTGACCCCCCCCAAAACGTACATGAGGAAAACTCCGTCAAAGCCTGATGGAGAGCTTATAACGTCTTTTGCGCCGATGACAGCAGGAATAAAGAACCGCTTGGAATTTCGGGTTCTTCTTAACAAGGGAATAGAGGTTAGTGAGTTTAGTACGCCTGACGGCGTTTCGCCCCATGCCGCTATTGTAGAACTACTACAGGATTTGGTATAAAAAGTCTTGGCTCTACCACATCCAAATTACCTCAGTAACACCCAGGAAATCTACGACTTCTAGTGAGGTACTGTTTTGTTAAAGGCCGGCCACACCAGACGGTCGCTGGCAGGCTCTGGGGCAAAGAGCTGCACTTTGGCAAGCACATTCAACCTGGCTTTCTTCTCCAGCCAACAGAGGCCCAGCGCGCTGGCTCTGAACTACAGAGGGTCTGGTGCACACTCACGACAGCCCCTACTGGCCAATTTGGAGCTGGGAGGGGTGTCCACAGGGAGGCAACAAAGGGGATAATAGTTCGGACTCAGGGCACAGTCACCACCCTACCCCCCAGTGACTGAGTCCAGTCAGTGAGGCGGTGGCAAGTGGAAACCCAGGCGCAAATCACAGGCATTAGGAGCTGGGAAGGATCCGCACTCACAGGGATTAGCCGAGCAGAGAATAAAGACTCGAGGGCCTTCCTAAGGCTTTAAGGTGGCAATACTGCCGTGTAAAAATTAAAATATTGGAAGAGAACTAAAGCATGTAAGGAATACTGGTTCAATGGCACCAGGGAACGGGCTCCGGACCTAGGCATTAGGGCTAACAATCGTGATGGCTCTGTGCGGAGGGACAGCGAGCGGAGAAAGAGAAAGAGAAGGGAGTCTAACAGTGCTCCCACGGACATGTTTTTAGTATCATGGAAGTGTGTTTCTGGAAACAGGATTCCACTCCTCAGCCTGGCTCACCCTTCCAATTACACCAGCCACAGAGCGCTCAGCCTAAGGAGCACTTAAAACACGGCGCATTTGGCTTTAAGGGACCCCCAGACAGCCCGCAGCGTCGAGCGCCTCACCTCTGCTCCAGGTAGCCCAGGGCCTGCCTGACGAATTCCATGCGCACTTCCACGCTGCTGCGGCTCTTCAGGGCGTCAGTGGCCGGGGTCAACAGCACATCTGTCATTTGCTTCACCATGGCCCACATGTCAGAGATGTTCTGCACAAGCAGGAGCGCACGTGTCAGCGCTGCGGGCTGAGGGAGCTGGCTCTCCCCAGCACTCAGCCGCAACGGCAGGCAGGGGAAGGCGGGGGGAGGGTGTGATGTCCTCTGAGCCCCTCAAGCTCAGGGCCAGTGCAGAAGCTGCACCCCTGTCCCACCAGCTGCCAGGTGCCATCATCAGTGAGCACCCTGTTCTAAGTGGGTTTTCGGATCAATTACAACTCTACCCACATAATTAAGACCCCATAAAAGTCACTAGAACACCGAATCTCTGCAGGTCATCCCTTGAGAGAGTGAATATCGCACACTCTCTTACAATCACTCAGCGCCCTAGGAGGTTAAACGCCAGTAGTTTCCAGCCCTTACAAGGTCATTTGAGGTTGTTGAGGCTTAAAATAAGCATCTGGCCTGAATAACGCAGGTTCTGACTCCCGCAGACTCCAGGCCAGGGCTCGTAGCACGCCTGCACACCGCAGCCTGGCACCTGCCTTCCCACTCACTCTCTCTGAAAGACGCCTCTGGGACAGCCCCCACGAGAGGGCAGGAGTTCTCTTCCTCCTGTTACACCCCAGCTGGGACTCATGGTACAAATCTGTCTGTAAAAATGTGTTCCCTCAGTGCTTGACGACTTTCATAAAAGTTCAGAATTCTTGGAAGACAACACCAGTTAGAAAAAGCAGACTTGTGCTTTTCCCCACTTTAGATGTTTGTATTGCCTTCTATTTTACTATTTAAAAGGAACAAAGTTGGATGCATTTTGAAGACAAAAAATACCAAGAAAACAAAACAACCCACCCTCCCAGCCTGCCTGAATGTCTGCTCCCATTCCATCCTTCCTGACTTTCCTCTCTTCCTCCCGACAACTTACCAACCCATCCTCTATCTAGCTGATCACCTCTCCATGTACCACACCTCCACCCAGGGGGAGAAAACTGACCAGTCATAAGAGTTGAGGGAAGGGGATAAAGATGGAGAGGCCGGGAGGAATGGAACATGGAACCAGTGGGGCGTGAAGGATGCTTTAACCCCCCCACAAGTCAAGTTCAAAGTTCATCAGTGTGAAGAGCACATCACCTTCATAATTCAGCTCCTGTTAAAAAGGCTGTTTGTCTAGGAAAAGATAGTGGTAAAGGGACAGTTGGAACTTGGCTGGACTGCAAAGCAAATACCGTTGAAAGAGGACTCTTCAGATAGTTAATCCTGGCTGGGCCTTCTGGAGATGCATTTATATATAAACATATTTTCACACACACACATTACATACACACACAGTACATACACCCCCACACACAGACACACACTCTCTTACAAAATCATCAAAAAACCACCCCCAAATTATCTAAATAAAACTCTGAAGAACAGTTAACATTTTATTTCACAGAACGTCTCTTCAGTGCATTTCTGCCGCGGCAGCCTGCTGCTAACCCTGTGTGCACACCGCCCCAGGCCCTGCTGGGTCCGCCCGGCACTACCTTATCATCCAGCTCTGCGATGGAAGCACAGAGGTCCACGAGGTTAGGCTGCAGATGCCCGTTCACAATCTTCTCGTTATAGATATAAATCTGAAATGATGAAAAGCGAAGTGTTTACTTTCACCTCTTCTTCAAATCTCTAGAAGCACTGCTGAAGTCAGCTTCTGCCTGAAAAGCCAGCAGCCGCTGCAGCCGACCCTGCCTTCCTCAAAGTGGCTAGGTGAGCCACCCCCGGGCAGCAAGGCCTCCAGCAGCCGCCGTCTGGCCCTGGGCTCCGGGCAGCCGCCTCAACAGACACCAGAGATGGCTGCCCCCACACAGGCAGCTCTGTGTGCCTGCCCAGAAGACCCTCAGGCACAGTGAGCAAAGACCAAAGGGCAAGACCGGATGACAGAAGGACCACCCCCGCCACCTGCTGGGAAGCTGAGGCAAAGTGCGCACACGTTCTGCCTAAGCTGCATGGGCCGAGGTCCGGGACTCTGGACTGAGCATGAGTGCCGGCCGGGAGAGCGGCTGCTGCACACGTAGGGGAAAGCATTCCTGCTCCCTGGGGAAGAACATTTTCTGAAGAAAGGGGAAAATCACTATTACTTTGCTTTTATTTGAAAAGAACTAAAATAATGGTTAAAAACTAGTAAGTTTTATTCTTTGGAGCTCTCGCTCTACCGAGGACTGAACAAGGCAGTGAGCAGACCAATCAGAACCCTACTGAAATGGAGGTACCTGGACGTAGTGGGGGATGGCAGCGCCTCGCCTCTAGGGGTGTTATAAAGATTCTGTGCAAAGATTTAAGCAATAGGTGGTCTGTATTCACTCAACAAGCATTTATCAGAGGCCTTCCCTTGGCAAGGTACTGTGTTCAACACAGCTGTAAAGACGCCCTCACTTCCGGTGGGGCAGCTGTGTAAGCAGACGTGTGTGACGTTATGGTGCCTGTCGTATAAAACGTTAGTTTTCTGAAGCTTTACACTTTACAGTTAGAGAAGATTCTTAGCTGCCCCAGAAGCTTATAATCATTAGGCCCGGACTCCGGTGGTAGCCCTGGCAATGGAAAGTCAGCCACAAAATAAGTGAGACTTAAAGGATGCAGAGACACAGGAAACCCCGCCATGAGACATGAGGGAGGCGGAAGCGGGGCTCGTGTGCAGCAGGCTGGAAAGGGGCTTCTGCTCCTTAGAGTTTGAAGTGCTGATGGCACACTGAAGGAGGAAAACTGAAAAAACACTTAGAAAATTTTTCTCCAAAGGGTTACAAGAGGGATTTCTGATAACAGCATCAGCCTACCTGGTAATTCAGCTAACAGAACTCCATTTGCTAAGTCATTGACAACTGAAGGTAGAATCCTGTTCAATGGCATAGGGCCTACGAGTTCTCACAGCTCCCTGCTCCCTTCCACCCCTGCCACGTATTCCTGCTCCCACCACCCCTCTCCAGGCTGGAGGAGAGGCAGGAGTGGGTGGTGCTAGGGTCACAGTGGTGCCAACACACGCTCCCCTCAAAGGACCACTGAGCACACGAGCCTTGGCGGTGGCTGTGCAGGTCGGTGGAAAGGTGATGCAAGGCCACCGCCCTCCACGCCCTTCTGGACACTGCGTGGGGACAGCGGCAAGTCAGAATAAAACACACCGGTGGTGGCACGCACTGCTTTGTTTCAAAAAGTGAATTCCAGGTAAGTGCTATTGTCAGGGAAGCTGATGTCCAACAGATTCCCTGTGCTCACCACAAATAGCTCACCCACACCCACACTCCTGACGGCCATGATCTACCAGCAGAACGGTGGTCCCCAAAGTATCATGAGCCCCTCGAGGCCGATACTGAGCAGTGCTGAGTTAGCTATGCTTGCCAAGGCTGAAAAACATTAAAATTTCTCTCGCACAAGGGACTAAGGTGATGGTGTGCAGGTGAGTGGTGGTGGGATTTCTATGGGGACTACACTCAACATAAAATGTATACAAATTAAATACAAACCAAAAAAAAAAAAATTTCAGCAACAGGTTAATAAAAATCTTTCTGATAAAACTCTTGACCTACTGGGCACTTCAACGAATCAGAACCCCTGGCTGATTGGCAGTCACTCAGGCTTCACCGTACGTGGGCCATTGTCAAATGCAGAATGAGCGGCTGGTCAGCGCAGAGGGCGGACGTCAGTATCCTGAAGTGAAATCTGGGCCACTCTGCTCACCCAGCTTGGGAGAATTCTCCAGTGACCTGGATGGCAAAACATTAACCCAGAATCCTGGACAAAGACCCAGCTTGTTTGCAGGGACTGACTTTCACCTGAAGTCGTTTCCCTTTTAATACCCAGAGGGCTTAGGGAAGATTTTTCCTGACTGGAAATTCCTTGAGCACTCACTCACCTGCCGGGCATAGGCCATTTCGATGCTGTCCAGAGAGCTTCGACCTGGAGGTCCTGCGTCACTGATGTAACTTGGCTGTAGATAAATCCAAATTGAGAACTGGTTAAGAACAGCATCAATTACGTAAAAAAAAAAAAAAAAGTCATACATGTATTTATCTTTAACAAAGCTGTGAGAAGCTTGTTTCATAGTCAGATTTCTTCAAAAGGGTGATTTTTAGGGTTCCAACAGACTACAACTCTTCGCACGTGAGACGGGAGTGGGCACAGGGCTCGATTAACAGGCGCGTGTCTTTCCGACAGTCAATTCCAATCCCAAGATCCTTTTCCACCTCATCTCATCTCTGTTTCTACACCAGTGAAGACATCACTTTTATTTGTGGGCATCCTAGTTCCATCAATCACCTCAGACAGCTGAGGGGATCGAGCCTTCGGGGTCACAACACTGGCATTCAGACATTTCCGATCTAGAGCCTGTACTGAGGCAGACGGGGTGCTGGGTTAATTTTCTGCATCTGAAAACGTGAGGCCCGTCTGCTGGGCGCGCTCATCCCTTCAGTGGAGGCTGGCACCTGCCACAGGCGGCGCTTGTGCCCACCCTCCCCAGTGGGCATGGCTGCAGGCCCTTCACAGGGACTGACATATGGGTAGGCTAAATCACTAGTCTTTTTTACTAAATAGTTTATTTTTACATCATTTTGTACATGTTTTTATCTCAATTGTAATCCCCGTGGATTTCTCATCACTGAGTCACCCATGTGCCAACACCATAGCCCTATAAATCACTAGTCTTTTTTTTTTTAAAGATGTATTTATTTATGCATACAGAACTGGGGTACAGGCCGGAGAGATGTGGAGGGTGAGAGGATTCACCAGGGACAGAGTGGGGAGCAGAACAGGCAGATCGATGAAGTACACTGCTGAGGGGAGCAGC